AAAGTCGCCTTTCGCTCCCGTCACATCACAGCTTGCCATATTTTGAGGACGTGTGACGTAATTAATGGAGGTCCCAAAACTTGCGTAACAAATTCGTGTTTAACCAGTTGCATGCAAAAAATCGTCAATAAATATTTTCGAGTAAACGTGTTAGGGTAAATTTACCAGTTGCCACTTCGATTAGTCAATGCCATCGACCTAACACTCACTTGACAAACTACCGGTTTTTACTTTTCTTGCGCACGAAGTGGACCTGATACTTTATTGTATCTGTTTTATTGTACATTTACTTGAACATAACTCTAATTTGGAGTCAGTATTATTTTTTAATTATTATATACACGCGAACAACTATTTAAATGTAGAAAAAAAAATTGCTGCGAAGTAAAACACATTAGGTACCAACAAGCATATAAGTTTTGTAAAATAATTTATTTTTATTGTCAATACAAAATTGATTTGTCGCCTGGTTTGGTGGAATTACAAAAATATACTACTCTAATAGCTTATATAAATATATGAAAGTACTATTTCTCCATTTGCCTAATTCTTTCCAACACTTAAAAAAGTCCTCTTGTATTCATTCGACTTTATTGCTGTTCAATCCTACATATACATCACGTATTTCACAAAAGGAACGTTTAACTTGAACAAGTCACCAACAATTGAACGAATTTGTTCCATTGAACGGTGAACAAACAAATAAAACGAGAAATCTCTTCCAGTTTTATTGCAAAACAGAACATCTGGTTAAAGTTGGAGCGATATTGTAGTTGGCACTGGTTTAACGCGGCGTCCATATATGTAAATTTTGCAGTGCACTGCGCTATCCTGTTCAATATTAAATGAATGGCACGCGGCGGGAGCCCTGCTGCCCGTTCTGATTACCCACTGCACAACCTAATAACTCGCTACACTTGTCTCTATTAGACACGTTACTGCGCCATTGTAGTGCCACCGTTTACTCTCATCAAAGCAACCGCACTGCGTATGTACTCTGTGCAATATCCCAAAAGCATAGTAAATAAAATTATAGTTTAATTAGCGATAGAAACTGTGAAAACATAGCTCAGCATCGGTTTTCAAGGGATGTTACAAATTAGCTCAATCGAAGAATCCATTTAATGATAGATTTAAAGGAACACACATTTGTTTTCGCTCAAAATTTGTACTTGGATAGAATGTGTGATGATCGCTTTTACTCCATTTGCTATTGGGTCGTAATTACGTTAGCGAGAATTTTGTTATTCACGAACGAACACGACAATGTTATGTGGTCAGAATTTCGCTCGCGGTGGCATACTCGAATTATTAATTTTATTCTATTTGTATTGAATTAAGTTGCATAAATAAATATATTCTTATGTTTATACAGAGTATAAACAAGTACGAGAAAAATTACGCGGGATCACTCTCCGATTCGAAAAACCATTTCTAAAGCTTTTCATACGAAACACATTGGACTATTTTTTACAAAATGAAATCTTATATTCTATAATAATAATTGATGTGTATTTCAAATTAAAATTTTATTACGTAGTATGGGATTAGTTAACCGCTAACATTTTTCAAATGTTAAATGGCCTACGGACGAAACACTGATGCTCAAGTTCACGTTACATCTACATGGTCCTACGAACGACTGCATCGATCGAGCATACGACTTGTTAGTTATGACAGACAAGAGTCCCAGACAGAATACCCATGCAAGTTCCACGGTGCACAACATTATCAGTAGGTTAACTTCGTATGATAGTATTAAAACCATTTTTGAACTACAATAATGCTCACAATACTACCTACGTTACAAATAGTTTGTGTATGATATACAGCAATAATAAAAGCACCGTTGTATTAAAAATAAGGTTTACACGTTGAAAATTGCAATTATAATCTAAATGACGCCATTTTCGGAGCATGTGGCGGCACGGTCACCTTATTAGTAACATCATTAATATCTTAATAGCAGCACGCGGTGCCCCGCTCTTAAAATAGTCTCACCTGCGATATGAAACTGAAAACCACTCTGCATAATGACGCCATATTCATAAAGCTACAAATTCATATCACGCGTACGTCGACTTCGCCTTACTTTAATTAATCAACTTCGTATATTTATATTTTAACTTAATTTATAATGTAAAATCTCATAAATTATATTAAATCTATAAGCGAAACATACACGATCATGCTGAAAACATGCTTTTATATTATTAGTAAAAGCCTTTTACTCTAACGTTGATTATTTTTATAATATAATTATTATGTACTAAATAATACTGCACACATGCAACAAATCTATGTTAACATAGATAACGCAGTTTATAAGGCGTTTGCACAAAATCCGTTTCAATGGCACTTGGGATGACGAGGACAAGCGAGTGATTATATCACAACTACAATAAATACCGTCTTTGGGTTTCGTTTTATCAAGATAAACACATGTTTATGATTATAACATTAACGTAAATAAGCATATTATTTTAAATGAATTTTATGAATTAGTAAATGGTATTAAGCTCTGGTTAAACGTCTAGAACGTAGGCGGAACACCAGTCAATGATCACGCACACCCGGCCTTGGGACAATGTGGTTATTAGTTATAGTAAGAAAATGGAGTTGGCGGTTGGCCAAAGCATTTTGAGCAACAAAGTATAATGACTACTTGTGTCAGTCAAAATGAGATTTGGTGAGTTGTTTGACGAATGTGCCGCAGCACCAGGTGGTGGAGCGGACGGAGCGAGGCACGGGTGCGGGTTGGGGGGCGCGAATCAGCGCTGGCGCCAAGCTAGGGTGCGACCCGCTACGCCGCTCATACCCGCTCCACTTGGGCCTGCGCTCCTCCGAGCACTCCCACAGATTAGGGTTCGACCGATTCATTTGGAACTTCCGCTCTGACAGCAACCTCCTATTCTCGGGACCCCGGTACAGATACGCATCCGCCGCCGACGAGCTTTTGTTGCGCTTCACTTTCGACGACTTGCTGCTTGTGCAGCCGATGTAATCTGGCGTCTCACTTCTTTGTACAGCAGCTAGTTTAGTGTAGTTATAGTGAGGGAGGTTAGAAGCGGGTGCGTGATATTGTACTTTACCGAGGGATAAGTGGCCGCAGTCCACTGCAGGTGCGATATAAAGGCAGCCGCATGTAACAAAATAGAAATATTCAGACGACCGTTACACGACATTGATAAAAGGGGTTATTGATTACATTAATTTTAGCATAATGTTCCAACAGGCAGTGTGCTCAATGCTGATCGAATAGTGTATCAGCCGAATGAAAAATAAGAACTGCCACAGAGTAACTTTTGTTAGTGACAGACAACGTATATTTTGTACAAAGCTGGTTAGGCGTTATAAATGCTCTAGACTGATTAAGAATTCTTGGAGGAGATAATCGCAAAATTGTCATTAAAATGGATACTAATTAAGTATATTTAATAATATAAGGCCCGAGATTCACGAAATTCAGAAGGACACAAATAAATTAAAAGCTACTTTAAATTTACGAGTGATAACTCGTAAACATTTACGATAAACTAATTATATACTACTAGATATCACTTATCAGTGACGACTAACTACATTGTACTGTAACATAAAAACTTGTTTTCGATAACTCTACAAAGAAAATGTAATTCACTACACGATTCAGAGAATTTTTATTTAAAAATGAGATCTATAGTGTAAATAAAAGCATGCTTGCATATCATGCGCTTAGAGTGTGCATCTTGATACAAGTGATATATAAATAAGGGAGTATATTATCTGAGTATTAAGTTACATCGACTAAAGTAGCTAATGCTAATAGTACACATGGTACTTGATTATCACATGACACCAATAACAACAAAATTTAACATAGATTAGGCATTGCAAAGCGCTAATTTATACACGACTAGCGTTAATTTTGGTTTTGTAAGAGAATACAGACAGATCATTCATTCTAAGAACCAACTGATAATACGGTTTCTTGATTTTGCGTGTCTCCTCCGTGTTGACTCGAAAATCTCCAGTGGTATATTGGGTACTGCATAATAAATACAGCTGTGTTAGTATAGCTTTTACCTACTGTTATATTTGCAGGAATCAACTAATCACATACAAAAACAATATTACTTTTCGTGCTTCTATTACATATGTCGTTAAGATTTAAATCTAGTAGCAATATACGAAAACGGATATTGATCATTTATTAGACGAAACGTTTCATACGTGATATAGGTAATATTACTTAAATTTACGAAACCGAGTAAAACCATTGAGTAATTATCCCTTGTTAACGACGTCTAACTGGAGTATCTAATTGTCTCTAGATGACTGTGATTAGCTATATACCGCTCTCGTCGTAATCAGCATAACGACGCCAATTTGACAAACAGTCCTATTTCACTGCCATGCCGCCTACGGGAGACTGTTAGCCCGCGAGAGAAACGAACGATTCTCACTAGTGTTTCATTAGCATTTGTTTCAAAAATATATCATTTAGACGTTAAAAGGTGATGAAGATAAATACTCACCAGAACTTACAGCATTTCTGCATCGCGCAGAAGTACAGTATGCCTCGATAACCTTGAGAATAAGGGCGTCCTCTTCGTACGAGTTAGACTTCCGCTGGTGCGGCGCGTAAGGGTGAGTGGGGCCAATATTCTCGTCGGATCCGACCGTGAAAGACTGCGGCCGTAACGGCGGGGCTGGCCGCAAACATGTTACACTCCACCCTAAAACGGTATCACACTCATTACGATGCCGCGTTTCCCATTCAAACTAGATTTATACAATGCTCGAAAACGAAAGTACCCAACTCAAATTAATCCTTGTTTTGTCTCGAACGCTTTGAAATGAACTTCTAGATACTAGGTTTGTCTTTCTAAACAATCAAGTAGTGCTCACCTTTATTACTGTAGTTCGAGCTAGCAGTATCGATGAAGTCAACAGATGAGAATTTCTTTCCGATGGGACTTTTATTAGCTTTGGCAGGCGATTGATCAAGGGAGTCGCAGGAATTTAATAGCCACCGCGCTGAGTGGTTTTTTTGTTTGTTTTTCTGAGCTTGTTGCGTATGTTGGGTATAACTTTGATGGTTGTTGAAGGAGTGCGATCTTTTGTGGCTGGTTAGACCGGACGATAAATCTGAATTATTGCTGTCGCTCATGGCCATCTGTAAAGAGATTTGATTTGTACCACATGCGTCCAGAGAATGCTTAGGTATACAATTAATTTTGTACAATTGTAGGGCTGAACGTGTTGTATGAAAGTGGGAACGATTTACGTATGTCACTTCCATAAATTTATATTTATAATATTTATAATTTACCGAATATTGAATAATGCAAAACACTCAAAATGAGCACATTTGTGGTCCAGTTTGAGCTTTAAAACGACATTCATAAGTGATTTAGTTGCCATGTTATGGTTCGATACATTTATATACCTAAATAAATACAAAACGTGTACGTGACGGTTTCGCTAAAATTAGTTTTACAACATTTTCAATGGACCCAGGTTCAAATGGGTTTAATGACAGCAATGAGGCAAATAAAGGCTAAATCTTTATCTTTATTCAGGCCCATGGGAAGAATACAAGTGATTCAAGCCTTTCCATGCATCATTTTCTTAATTTGTTAGTAAGTAAATTGTGATCACTACTTGCAGTGGCTCTTTAGTTAGTATGATGAATAACACAGGCAAGGATGATCAAGTAAAGCACTGCAACACTGGGGTAACTAATGACAGTATTAAGCTAGTGGTTACAAAACTTCAAGGCAAATTAATTATTTTCAAACCAGTGATACACAAACAGTATCTCTTTACAAAACAATGATCCTTGCCTGAATCGGTGACCACGGTTATGGGTAATTTTGCTTTCATCCACCAGTGCGCATACAAGTCTGAGCGGTACACCATGAAGCCCGACTGAGCCTCTGTCAACCCTTTCTGCAATTTCGATAAGTCCTCGCTCCGAGACCTTATTTTACGCGAGTTTGTACAATATTTATCCACTTTTTGTTTATTATCTTTGTCAAAGACATCGCAGTTGCGTGGTATATTCTTACGGGATTGCCTGCCCGTGCTCTTATCGTCGGGATTTTCCCGATATATGCGCATATGGTAATGCAAACTGGGCTTTGTGCGCTCAGTTATATTTAGAGTACTCCACTGATTTGGTTGCGGCTGGCGAACGTTTCTGGGGATTTCTAAATGAGTACTAGGCTGTCTAGAAGCCCGCGGAGGTGGATCAGGTTTCAGTTTAATTTCAGGAACGTATCGTTCGATATTTCGACGTATAGAACTGCGCTTAATTTGTGGAGATAGTAGAGGCGGGTTAGCAGTGAAAGTGGACGTCACATGTGTGTTTAATGATTCCATGACATCAAGACTATTTTCCGAGGTTACGCTGGTGACGCACGATGTTCTGGCGGTAGACCCAAAAGGCGAAGTGCATCTGCATTGATCCTCAAAATTGGCCGCCTCTATTTCAGATAGTGTCAACTTTTTACGACGTTCTAAATCAAAAGTATCGTCTTGAGACAAATTCGTAATAGAATCTTTCAAGTTGTCCGAATTTTTGTCATGTCCATTATCAGTGTGTAATGGAAGTTCTGGAGATGCCAAGTTACAGCTTCCAGCAACTCCTGAATCCGACGACCGAGGGCTAGTACACACGGATTTATTGCAGCACTCGCATTTTTTACGAGTTTTTTCAGATTGCGAACTCATTCTTTGAAGGCGAGTTTCGTCATTTTTGTTGAAATTTTCCGATTCTACCATAGATCTTGACATTGAACGCCTAATTCGTTTATCAGAGTTAAGCGAGTGCTTGCGGAAAGGTATGTTAGTGTTCAAATTAACGTTTATAACTTTCATGTCCTCCTGTTCATTACGAAACATTAAAGGCGGATCAAGTATAAGTGACTCCGTAGGATTATATTCGCGGCACTGTTTAGGTGATGGTGGTGGGTCTAACTGTTGTAACATATCAGATATGGACGAGCTATTGCTCACGACTTCCTCACGAGAAACGTTTTCTTCGGTTGATTTCCATAGTTTCTGTCCTGATTCACTTTTCACACTGCAATTTGGGAAGCTGCGTCTGATAGGTATAAAATCTGTATCATCAGTACCTAATGTAATAATTTGAGTGTTTTGATCCATGTTAACTAAATCTTCACAAGCCATGTAAGGCCTCGCCTCAAAGCTGGAATTCTCGGTGCTTTCGGAATGTTGCATGGGTGGGCGCAGCGTATCTAATTCTCGCGTCGGCGAGTCGTTATTCACATTCAGTGCACCATGTATGTCACTACTAGAAGAAACTGATTGGAATAGGTTTTTCGTACAATCACCTTTGACAGGTGGTTGCGATAGGTTCAAATTACAATCAGCAGCGTTATCGTAGTAACGTACATAGCCGTAGTTACTACCCCAGCTGCTGCAGGAAGCGGAAAGCGTTCTAGGACTAGCAGAGTCCAACGCATTTTGTCTCATTAAATTATTAAAACCGGGCGGCACGTCAGCGTCTGTGCAACTCGAAGTGGCGTAAGATTCAGTAGTGTCAGTTTCATGTTCACTGTCACTGTCCGAGTAATCTGTTTCGGTACCAAGAGTGCCATCCTCCTCTACCCTAAATCTAATCCGATTCTTATGTCTCCGCATTACCGGCAATCCCGTTAATTCAAATGCTTTAGCCCACGTCCTTTCATGAAGAAGTTTGCGTAACATTTGTCTCGTTATAACTTTCTTCTTAACAAGTCTCGCAAAGTATTTGGTAAGGGAATAGTATGGTGATGCAGAGGGGTAACTAGATGGTGGTAGAGTGACGTGATAAAGGCTGCGGCGGCTAGAGTTGATACTAGACAATGCCCCTTCGGAAGGAGAGCGGGTCAGCTATGCAACAATACCACAAAACACCTTAATAAAATATACATTTACCTAATACAGAATAGATACTATAGATAATAAATTCTGTTAAAAATTAATTAAATTTAAATACTTACATGGGGCAGAGACTGCGGCTGTCCAGACTCATGAACTGGGCTGCTGGGGTTGGAGTGCTTCTGTAGCAAACTAACCCAATTGTCAGCTTCGGCTCTTGTTTGGCATACTGCTACAATCGTATCTATCATTGGTCCACTAATTTCAAATGCATTTTTTCTCGTATCAGTGTCTTCTAATTTGCAAACTATTATCCCAGTCAATGGAAGGCAACCCTAAAACAATTCATAGGAACTTATCCATAAATAAGATTTTTGCACAGTGACGGGTACGTACGACAATCTGCATAGAGTAGTGTCAAGCAAGTCACGTCAAGTTTAAAAAATTGTGGTGCAAAAAAAAAGAATGCATTAAGATTCATGTTTATGTTTATTCTTCCTGTCATTTATACATTCTCGGAATAATTGGCAGATTGTTTTAAGATCAATTTGTTATGTTAATACCTCGTATACAAAGGCGGAAACTCTCTTGCTGACTGAGAGAAGTAACAACGCTGTCGGGAAAAGTACGAAATAGCGGTCTTGGTGTGAAGGACCTACAGCCACACTTCCCATATGTAAGACGTCCCCAAGAGCTGTGATATCGCCACCTGGCCAACCTCGGACTTCACCAGTCACAACCTGAAGTTCCAACTCCTTTTGACGTCTTAGCGCCGCGCAACCGCTCTGAAACATTTACATTTGTTTAAGTTTTTCGTCAGAGATAATATCGAGAAAACAATTTTTTTAGACAAACGATATTCAGCAGGCATACGGCTTACGCGAGTTCTTGTTTTAAATGTTAAGAATATGAAAGTACAAGTGAAATAAAAAAAAACAATATTAAGGTTTTAAAAAGAGATTTTTTTGTTTACTCTCTACTTCACTCAAAATTGTGGTAGGTATTGAAAAAAACTATTCGAGGGTTTAAAAAATTCCTGAATGAAACCAATAAATATATTATATTCTCGTTTATAAATGGATAACTAAATATATTATCTATAAAAAATAAGCACATTATTCGCAATAAGAGTGGTTACGCGCGGCGACTTTTAGTAGCAGTTACACTTGCGATGTGTAAGCGACTGACGCTACACTCGTCATTTATTTTATAAGTGATTGCATCGCTGCTTAATGTCGCGCGTGTGTGTAAAAGTAGACGATTAGCTACTGCATCGCGTTTACATCGCTGCTAAAACTCGCCGTGGTTAACCGCTCTAAGATATATTCAGTTTTTTTTATTTTCAATAGTGTTTTCTCATTTCCATAAAGTCGAGTTACGACTATATTTATTTTCAAGTGCGATTTATATAGGGGCTTTGATCATCACCAATGGTCAGAAAAAGGTGTTCCATATAGTAATTCTTACAAAATCTCGAAATTCTTGTCCTTTAGGTTTATAAAAAAAGTCTCTCATACTTGCCGTAAAATTAATATTTAATATCAAATTATAATTCAATTGCTACTAATGCCTACATAAAATATTGATTAGTCTATTTAAATTAAAAAAATAATAATATAAAAATGTCGTACAAAATCATTCCCTCATGTCCCAAGTTCCATAATCAAACACGTTCTGTGCTTTAAATCAACACATTTAACAAAAGTAACCTTTACATTTTAAACATTCGACCATTGTAGGTCAATGCATTCGACAAATAAAATATGTTTTTGTAACAAAATTAAAGCTATCCGAAAAAAAATGTATTATGATTCTTGTCCCAACCAAAAAAATAATTCCCTCACACTTTTACCTTCACTTGCTTTGTGAACGCATTTTTAATCTTTGGTAAATGCATTTTGTAAGTTTTTGAAAGTTAGCAGCACTGTAAACATTTCAAAATAACGAAATTCAACTTGTGTATGTAAAAAGTTTCTACTACGAAAAGATTTAACTTAAAATTCTAATACTTCCATTTTTGACAGTCCAATCCCTCACATCATAATAAAAAAAGTTACGCATTTGATTTTATTTATTAACTATTCACTCAGACGAGTTAAAAAAATACTTGTTTGTATAATGAAAATAACGGCGCCGATTAATTAAAACAAAATATTGCATTAAACATAAATATGATAGCCATAAAGATAAAACACAAAAAAGAAAAATGAAGACTGTAAAGTCGCAAAGAGAAATAAAAGTAATAATGAAGACTTCATAGTCATAAATAAACATTTATTTATTCTGAACTACATTCTAATAATGAATAAGGCATAATGCAGTTACGGCACTATTCTCATATGTAATCTTAAGGCTTTAATATACTCACAAAACGAGCGATTCGTTCTGTGTACCGTCTAGGCTCTCGGGTTTCTCTCAGGAAAAGTTTAAGAAGACTGGTATCATGACTGTGGCATCATAGTACATTTACTCAAATATTTTATATGCCCGTAAAAATATACATAATTCCAATAAGAAAGAAGATATCCATAATATTAATCTTAGAGCTAAGTCCAAACTCATGGTACCACGATTTCGTTTAACCAAGGTAAACAACTCTTTTATGGGGAACTGTGTACGTTTTTACAATAAGATTCCAGAGCATATATTAAGTTTATCATTTCCTAAGTTTAAAAACTACATTAAAAATATTTTGATCCAAAAATCATATTTCAAAATTGAAGACTACGTGTTAGATAAAGATGTATGGAAAGACGACACGGCTCCAGAATCCACACAAATTTGATTCAAAGTGTATTCCATAGCATTTAAGTTTATTTGAAAAGAGCAATCCCTAGACTTTCTTGCTTGTTCTTCTCAAGGAGGTCAGCTTAGTGAAGGAGCAGTAGCTTAAATGTGACGTTTTCAAGTGTAAATTTATTTTACCTATGGAATAAATAATATTTGACTTTGACTTACAGCAATGTCCTTAAACACCACAGATGCCCTGTAAGTATCGCCTCTGTCTGGGTGAGCCTCGTGCACATGTCTGGCTAATTCTTGCAGCATGGCAGGGTACTTGCCGAGCCGACGGAATGGCTTTGATAGTCCTGCTGTGAGCACCAACACTCCAGGACATACGGCACCAGCATTTTCCATCCATGTATTTAATTCTTCCCTGTAACATACTGAACTTAGTATGCCATCTTAAAATACATATTTGAATTAAGAAGTACTTCTCAATTTATTATGCAAAACTTTAAAAGAGTATTTATTCGCGCCCGAAACGTTGGTTTGCTTGAAAAAACCATGTATATGGGGTTTAGATCCGAAAAAACAGTTTCATTTTAAAGTATTTATTCATATTTTCCAAAAATTGTGCAATAGTTGTTAGCCCATGACAAAGTTGTAAGGATAATCTACAATCTTGCACCTAATAGCGTTGAAAAAAAATTTAAATGTGCATGTACATACTTTACAAGTACAAAAAGTTTTAGAGAGATTAGAAATTTCTAGGATCACAGTATTAAAATTCAATCAGCATAACAAAACTACACTGGCATAATTTTGTTACGCCAGTATTAAAAAACCTCCACAGGGTACTACGAGGGTCAAACTGAAAGTTCTTAGAACTGGCCACTTATAAACAATATAATAAAAAAATAATTCTTAAATTTGAAAATAGAACTCTTTGCCAATATTACTGAGTATATATTTCATTCATTTGTCATTTGTTTTACGATTTGGCGGCAAATTGAAAATTGTCTGTGTCACGTCAACATGAATTTAACACGAGAAAATTTTCGTGCAATGATTTTTTATGACTTTCGATGTCATTTAAGTCAACAAGAAAGTTATGATAGACTACGATTGGCCTTTCACGATGAAGCCCCATCTCGTGCGACTGTTTACAACTGGTTTAATGAGTTTAAACGTGGTCGCACTAATCTCACTGATGATTTACGTGAGGGACGGCCTTCTACGGCGACGACTGAAGATAACATCTGTGTTGTGCGGCGTATGATAGATTTGTCAGTACAAAAGAGTGACCTATCAGCAGATTCGGACAAGCTTAGGCATCGGTATGAGTCAAGTGCACAAAATCCTCCACGAACATTCAGCGGTCAGGAAGCTTTGCGCCCGGTGGATACCTCATAATTTGACTGAGGCTCAAAAACTCCATCGTGTGGATTGGTGCCGTAAAATGATTGAAAGATTTAACGGAGGTGACTCAAATGCTGTGTTCGACATACTAACAGGTGACGAAAGCTGGATTTACTCTTATGATCCTGAAACCAAAAGACAATCTGCTCAGTGGGTGTTTCCTTTCGAGGAGTTGCCAACTAAAGTGAAGAGAGATCGAAGTGCGGGAAAAAAAATGGTGGCCTCGTTCTTTGGAAGGATAGGTCATTTCGCAACAATTGTGTTAGAGGATCAAAAAACAGTTTCTGTAGAATGGTACACTACCAATTGTTTGCCACTTGTCTTGGAAAAAGTTCGAGAGAAACGACCTCGCAGTAGGATCCTCCTTCACCACGACAACGCCTCGTCGCACACCGCCAAGCGAACGATCGACTATTTGGCGACATCAAACGTTGAATTATTGGGTCACCCGCCGTATAGCCCCGACCTCGCGCCTTGTGATTTTTATTTATTTTCAAAAATTAAAGCAAAACTTAAAGGAAAGCGGTTTATGAATGCTGAAGAAGCGGTGGCTGCGTATCGCGATGCCATTGAAGAGACCCCTAAGGACGAGTGGGCAAAGTGCTTTTCCCAGTGGTTCCATCGCATGCAGCGGTGTATTGACGTGAATGGACAATATTTTGAAAAGATATAATAAAACTAATAACTGGCTAATGTAATCAGTTTTTAATTTTCTAAGAACTTTCAGTTTGACCCTCGTACCACAAAACTATTTCCCATATTACAATTGTGTGTATGAGTGACAGGACTAACAGGTCGTGCGCCTGGTGTTAAGTGACACACCTGTCCATAGCAGGTGCAGTGCCACTCATAACTTTAAATCGCAAACTGCCACTGTGCCTGTCGTCCTGAGACAAAAATTGACAAGTTCCGTGTGCCTGTCATTTCACCAGCACCCTTAACCTTCAAAACAGAATGCAGTAATGCTCACATTTTTGCTTGGCGGCAGAAATAGGTAAGGTGGCAATACTTCCCTGGACGAACTCTTTCACAAGGAGCTCTACTGCTACTAAAAATATAACAATATATTATAATAACTTACTTGTATTTATCAAGAATACAGACAGCTTTGGGATGCCCCGCACAGTATGTCTGATGTACAGCTTTAATGTTAGGGGCCCATTGCAGGAACAGACCTCCCACTCTCTGGTCAGCGCCACTTTTAGCTGCACATTCTTCCAATAAACCCAAAAATTGTTCATGAACTTGTAGTACTTGATTTATGTTGCCAGTTAACTGTTTAAATTCATCCCTTGTAAGCCTGAAAATTATACATTTGTTAGACTCAAAAGTACACATAAATATTACAGAAATTTACACAACCATTGAATATGAAACTATTTTTCCAGATCTATATTCACTTAGTAATTTTTATAATGTATCTAGTGCAAAAACTTGACAACTCAATTCACCCATTGCAACTCCACTGTGTGATTTTGGCACTTCAATAAATCTTTAAACCCACCAGTGATCTCAAGTTGAAGAAATTGGAACACATGAATAGTATTAAATAGTTGAATTTTGCTAGATGTGGCAATAGACTGTTAGTTGGCTGTTTGTAGTTGTTTGTACAAGAATTAAAGTTTCTTCTAAATCTATGTTACTCTTAACTTGTCTCGTGTTCTAGAGACTCACAGTGCCCCTAATGTTTCAAAAAATAAAATAACTTCATAATTTTTTTCACCATAACCATGTTGATGGCCCCAATAAATAAATGTGTACTATCTACAAGATTATTATGTATAATACATGTTTATTCAGTGGGGCCATAAATGTGTCTCAAGGAAGCATAACAGATGAACACAATCTATACACTGGTAAGTAAATTTAGACCTTGGTTATTATAATAATGATTTTTTTAATTCATAAGACAAAATTTGATGTCACATGCTTGAAATCAAGCATCAAGATTTCTCTGGTTCAAAGGTAACTTGGCAATCCCTAATATGTTAAAGGAACACAAAATAGACACACATGTCACTTTTCTCCAAAGGCTGCAAGAAGTTGCTGACCAGGCCCTGCATCTCGGCCACATGGGCCTTTTCCGAGTCAATGATGTCTTTGAGGACCACATTCCGGAATTCTTGGATCTCTGATACTGCTCTTATTGGAGAAGTGGTCAATGACCCTGAGGGATCTGTTCATGGAAATAAAACATATGAGTAGTATAGTAGGGAGAATAATTTTCTTCAATAAAGGTCATATTCAGATGACACAGTAATCTGTCAGTCATAAGTTAAGAATTGCGTAAAAAAAATAAAGTTAAAGATGTGATTGCAATATTTAATGAGTTTGTCTCTTACCTTTGAACTCAGTAACATAATTGCTCGGAAACCACCCTGTGGTCTCACCTAAGGTTCCCTCCCACCACCCACCTTCTTCTTTTTGACTAACAGTGATAATATCACCTTTTTTGAAGCAAAGCTCGTCATTGTTTTTGCCTTTAAATGAATATATTGCTTTTACTAAGCAATTTTCGGTAGACATTTTATTTAAAATCTAGCACCATGGTATGCATAAATCTGAAAGGTGGTTTTAAAAAAAACGATAACATTTGACTACAAGATATTTGAAAGTGTATTTTAAGGGGTACCTAACACCCACACTATATCATTTTAAAGTAACGACAACAATATTTTAGAGCACAAAATTGGACACTTTAAACAAGCCGCGTATTAGATGTCGAATATGGAATCATCATTGAGGATACGTAATTAAAGTGACATTGATTCGAAGAATGCGAATCTTCTAAAATTCCCCAGAAATAACAGGAAGATGAATAGTCACCCGCAAAGAGTCAAATTGTAGGGCACTGTCCAATATAAAGATTTAAGGGAAACTATTTGTATTTCACTTTCGTTTATAGAATTATGGGAGGATTACACGTTTATCAGTAAATTAACACAATTTTAACTACTTATCTACGTACAAAAATGTAAAATTAAATCCGACTTCACGGACTTCCAAAAATAAACACTTGCTACTTGCTAGTGTTGCCTGTCATGTCACAGGTCTCTGTTCTCTTTTATCACTCAACTCGACTCAATTGTGAAAGTCTATAGAACTAGAGACAATCGATTTTTGTTTTGCATTCGACTTAATAAAATAATAAGTTTGTTCGATCTTTAAAAAAATTGTTCCCCACTAGCATAAAAAAGGAAAACAAAATAGTTTTGTCTGTAAAAACGACAAACTTCTCACTTTTTCTAAGTTCTCCTACTCGAACCTTTTATTTTTTTCCATCCTCTTACGGGTCGTATTCCAGAACTCAGTGTAGTCAGTCACACTCACGGTAAGTAAATTCAGAGTAAGTAACAGCTTGCTTCGTTTCAGTTTTGCTGTTTCATAAACGTCTCTCGTCGTACTCTTGTGAAAATCTTGTCTTGAGTGTTGCAAAATCTGTATTTACTTAAGTGAGGTCCTGGTTGCGCTTCAGTATATGATAATCGGCCAAAAAAAAATTCCACCATTTGAAATTTTTCGGAAAATTACCGACCAGTACAGTACAGTTCAGTATATTTCGATTTCACTTATCGAGTCCTATGCTGGCTTAGCGAATTTGACATGTTTATGACCTGTGCCATGACCTATTTGTGAGTTTATTTTTTTCCATCTTATTAGGTATCGTTACTGTTGCCAGATTAGGCGATTTTTCGCCTTTTTGGCTACATTGAGGGGGACTACTAAAGTGGTAGGCGAAATGAACTTGGGTGAATATCGGCTACTTATTTAAACATAAATTGGCGAATTAACTTCACAATAGTCTGGCAACACTGGGTATCATCGTTATTGGTCTCAAAATATAGAGTGCGATCCGCGGACTAATGTAGAACGGGCATATGATCTATGGCTGTATGTAAGTTTATAGCAGAGCCCAGGACCTTTTGGAGGGAAAAGTGTCGTTTTTATTTTGACTTTCAATTATTTTGTGAAATCTAGTTTAAAGTGGAATAGGATAGTGCTATTGTGCCTTAATCGAAGATTAAAACGCGAAATTATATGAATCTCTAACTAGAATATCCGTATCGGCCCGTTTTAAGGAATCCCGAGCCAATCCAAACACGCCGCCTCAAATTACCTATCCTCTTTGTGGCGGCCATATTTACAGAAACAAACTTCATGTTTAGGCTGATGGCTTTGCCAAAGCCTTAATAAATTAAAAAAAAAAAATTATTGTTCTGTGGTCATGTCATTATAATCAAGCTAGTTTGGTTTGGACATGGCTTGGACGGAGCTAAAAAAGACAACTGTAGATATGGATATGCTCAACAATATCGTTGCTAAAGTTATATTGTAGCATTCAACATAATAGCATTATTGGACTACATTAATAACATTATTGGTCTTTCAAACTATATAACACTACAAGATCGATATGGAAAAGTCTGCAGAAGACAGTTTATATCAGGCTGTCCTAGTCGAAGACGAGGACACTATTTCTCAGTTATTATCACAAGGTAAAATACAGCTTTACGACGCTCATGTTTTGGTATTGAAATAAAATAATTTTAATATTATTGCAGGTGCTAACCCAAACAGAACTTGTAAATGTGGTAAAACATGCCTCGGTGAAGCAGCTAAGATAGGCAACATTACTCTTGTAAAGTTGCTCATAGAATATAGTAAAACCACCAGTATGAGCAAAATAACAAGTACAAGAAAGAGGCAAGTGAAGTCGCATAAAAGAAAACTCAGGCATGATAGTCAACAAAATGAAACCGTAGTCAAATGCAAAAATCTTAGTGATAGGATGTTCAAAGACTATTATGCGGAAAGCATTGCTTCAACCACTACAGGAAGTATGGACAAGAACCAAGGTTACTTTGTATTTATACATAGTGAAGGGTCCAGTAGTGATGAAGGCAAGTTACCTGGTTTAAAGAGTCCACTGAGTCCCCCTTCTTTGACTATGTCTCCACAGGCTGATTTGGAATGGGATGAGGAAATAGGAAATGTTGCACCCACCACTAGCGAAGATGAGACTTGGTCTTCAATGTACAAGTTAGTGCAAAAAACCTTCTGTGTTCTTAACGCATTTAATCAAAGAATTTGGCATGAAAAATGGTCTCAGTCAGTTATTTTACTTTTTTTACTTACTTTTAAGTGGAAAACTAATATTTGATTAATTAAGTATTACAGTTAAATCAGAGCACTTAAATTATTTATTATTTAAATAGAAATCGGACTTAGAAAATCATACTTTGCAATGGAAAGCATTAATTTGATTGAAAGTGTGTTGACATCTTAAACACCTTTAAAATCAAATTACTTCAGCAAAAAATATTAGAGCCTGTATATTTTCAAATCAATTATGATGTTTTTGCAGGTGGTATGCAGCAATTTTAGAAAGTACTGGGGCAGCTATTGCAGCTGCATCAGCAGTTACCAACGGCATTGACCAACAAGACACATTTATGAGGACTGCGTTGCATTATGCTGCAGAACAAGGACATGCTGGAGTTGTCAAGTTATTATTAGATGCTGGTAAGTTATATTTACTCTGAAATACTTATGTACTTTGTGTATTACAAACATTGACCTACCACCAAATGGACATCGGGTCTAATACAAAAACCACGAAAAAAATGTGCGACCGATACAAACGAAATATAAAAAAACTGAAACATTTAATTTAAATTGTAACGTCATTGCAGTAGTGCCTTATTTTGCTTGCAACAATTTAATGGCCCAAAAACACCATATTCAGCTTCTACTGGAAACTTAATAAAATGCACCATGTTTATCTTCAACTGAAAATTACTTGGAACACAGGAGTAATGGAGCAGCCTTTATTGTAAATATTAATTAATTTTTATATATATTATTATGTCGAATTTTGTGCAAATTCACTGAAAGAAATAATAAAGAGTTGGGTAGATACATACATACAAATATTAAAAATGTGAAAATAAACAGTGTACCAATATTCCAACTAAACGTAAACTCAAATATCCGTAATTATGAAAACCGATTTATAATAAAAGCGTTACACTTTCAAGTAGTTTTGATATTTTTCACAAAGACAAAATAAACTTTGATTAATTAAATTTAAATAAATTTGATTTGTAATATTCTTATAAAAACACATTTGACATTATGAAAATTCGAGCTAACGTTATTTCGAGCAAATGTATTGTGATAGGTAATCCGAAGCCGTACAACGATTGCAACAATATTTTGTTAGTTATTGCTAATGTTCAATAAAAAATCATTTTAAAAATGATATTAAAATCAAAGCTACACTATAGTTTCTTTGTCTTTATCTAAATCTTTCAATTGCTTGTGGTTCGAATTATTTAAAATGACCAAGAAGTTTATATAAGATTCTTGAAATTGACATAACGGGCCTCTTTCCATCTTTTGCACATGCAATGTGTAGAAAAAGGACAGTTAGCTATTTAATTATTTTGTTTGCTTATGTAATTTATATTTTTGATTCATTTGTATATAAGTTAAATACTATACAACTGCACAAAATAATCTTTTAACTATTATAACACAATATATTTGTTTATTGAAAATATGATACAAAATCCCGTTTTTACACTTTACTGCAGTAATTTTTACAAGTTATTGTTATATAGTTCTGCATGATTGACATCCGCGCTGTCCGTCGAACAAACGAAGACTGTTGCGCGATTGATGCTCTGTATGCGATTTTAACGCCCTATAGGTGCGGACACTTTTTAGCGCGAAACCGACGTCCACTTGTTGGTAGGTCAATGATTATAAATATAGAAACAATTTTTATTTTGCAAAAGCTTGCGGTTAGAGCGATATAGAAATTAAGCCCACTTACTTCACTTAGGGAGATTTTTAAGGAAATTGGCATATTGACTACTGACTGCATCACAGTTAATCTTCAAGTTTTTATGTACTTTTTGTGCGTTTGAATAATAAATTGTATAATAAACGGAGTGATGTACATAATTTTAATACTAGACATAAATGGAATCTCGTTTTACCGAAGTTAAGACTTCAAAGGGTTCTCGGTTCTTTTGTGGGGCAAAGAACTCAGTATTATAATAAGATTCCAAAAGCTGTTTTGGACTTATACTTGGATAAGTTAAAAATCATGTGAAGGCAACAGTACTAAAGAGAGGATATTACTCTGATAGGGATTATACAGGGTGTCCCACGGCTATGCCACATGGAGGGAAAGTACCTTAAATACCATTGATAGAACATTTTACTGAAAGAAGACTTCATTTTGATTTTAAAAACAATTCGAACTGCATTCAAAGATTTTTAAATAATCGCTTGTCTGAACCGGGAATCGAACCCGCAAAATGTGAAAAAAAAAACCACCTGTAATTTTGTTATACTGATCGAAAGCCTCAATCATACGAATTGTTTTCTTCTAAATAACATAACATCTTAAATAAAACGAAGACCATGAAATTTCACTTTAATTTGAAATTTTGTTCAAGAAAATGGACAACTTTTTCTCTGACTATGCCGCGCTCATAACAACATACATTATCATTTCAAAGTATTACTAAAGAAATAATAAGGAAATTCACAAAAAAGTTCACAATCACAAAGCGGCTGACTGATTATAAAATAATAATTTGAAAATGTGTTCCATTTTCAAACGTCTATGTATTCTTTTGTTTTTGCTTTGAAAGAATACAAATTCAAGAGTTATGTTGAAGGGCGATTACTTCAAAAATTACGCCCGGGTGATGCCGAAAGACGACTTATTTTCTGCCACTAAATCGAGAGGCGGATGAGTCAGAATCAAAATTTCCTGACTAACATTATTTGGTCAGACGAGTTAAACTTCAGTAACAATGGTATGTACAACCGGCGTAATAATCGTATTTGGTCGAGACAGAATCCCTTACGAATCCGCGAAACTAATGATCAAGTGCGTTTTTCATTCAACTGTTGGTGTGGGATTGTGAAAAACCGGGTTCTCTTAATAAATTTTTACGAAGGGCATCTGAACACTGAAAAATATTTAGAAACACTTGAGATTTTAAGGAGCGAGATTAATAATCTTCCCGATGCAGAACGACGAAGTCTTATTCTTCAGCAATATGGGGCTCCGGTTCATAATAGTCGGAGAACAGCGGACTTTCTTAATGAACATTGTCCTTCCTGGATCGATACTCATGGACAAATTAAATGGCCTCCGAGATCCCTGGATCTAACCCCGTTAGATTTTTTTTATGGGGATATGCAAAAGATTTAGTTTACAGGAACCGGATGAGATGATGAGAGTGTGCAGGAGTTACAAACTGAACTTAGACGTATTATTTTAAACATTCACCATGAAAAGATAAATAAATCAACAGGAAGCGAAATTATGAAAAGAATGAGAATTTGTATACTACACAATGGGAGACATTTTGAACATTTGATAACTTAAATTTGTATTATATTATTATTTTAATTAAATTTCAATTTCATGGTCTTCCTTTTATTTAAGATGCTATGTTATTTAGAAGAAAACAATCCTTATGATTGAGGCTTTCGATCAGTAAAACAAAATTACAGGTGGTTTTTTTTTTCACATTTTGCGGGTTCGATTCCCGGTTCAGACAAGCGATTATTTAAAAATCTTTGAATGCAGTTCGAATTGTTTTTAAAATCAAAATGAAGTCTTCTTTCAGTAAAATGTTCTATCAATGGTATTTAAGGTACTTTCCCTCCTTGTGGCATAGCCGTGGGACACCCTGTATAAAGAATAAGACAGTATGGTTTTGAAAATTGTGTAAATGTGACGATTTCAAGTGTAATTTGCCTACCTACGAAATAAAGATAATTTTGATTTTATTATCTAAATGCACTTTCACATTGTAAGTCTATTGTATATTTTGCCATTATTCTCATAAGGACAGATTCTCAATAGGACGGATTCTCAAGAAGACGGATTCTCATGAAGACAGATTCTCAAAAGAACAGCAGTACACGTAAGGAGAAAAAGAGAAAAAAATAGAGATAAAATTATTTTAATAACTTGTCAATTGTCGTCGTCAAAACGTCTTAGTATCGCAAGGCGTTGCAAACACTCAAAGACCGATATTTCACTCCGTACACATTCAGATACAATCTGTTCAATTTTTCTGTCAACTAAAATGTCACTTTTTCTCCTTCTTTTTCCCGCACAATAAAAGGACCCTCTGACAATTTTTATGTCCGACAGTTTTGCTTCCTTCTTCAAAAGCATGATGAAATAAAGCATCGATGGCCTTTTAGGAATTCTAGAATTAATTCTTTTATGCCACCCTTCGATTGCGTTTGTCGTTCGAAATTTCTCGCCAAAACAACTGAAAACTTCTCTCGTAATAAGATTGATCCATTGCTTCGAGAAATAATTTTGGAATTGTGTACTTTCTTCAGTATTAGGAGCTAATTCACATAATGTCAGATACGCCTCCGGTATAAGCGACGCTGGCAACAGTGCTAATAAGGAAAAGAGCTGAGTACATTTACGACCCTCGTTGGATGAACTAAAATTAATCGATTTCGACTTTTTCCAAACTGCGTTTGTAAAATGATAGTAGCAACCCTTTACTACAATGTCAGGATATATTGCCTTTATCGCTTGGATAATAGCCAGTTCGTAGTCACATTTGAAAGTGCTGATATTCATAAAAAATTGATATTTTAAAATTTTGAAAAGTCTCTCGTATGTAGTTTGGCTTTTGTTGGGCAACAAAGCGAACAACAATGGCACAAAGCACACAGTTCCTGATTCATGCGTAATGTCAGCATGTACAGAAAACAGCTGATAGAAAGGAATCGGGCAACATCTAAACGTTCCATCAACGTACACAATATCAACTGTTTTCAATGTTGCTTTTGCCAGTCGAGTACCAAAAATTATAATCTTCTCTTCAACACCATCGTCATACAAAAAGAAATCACTTACTAAACTGTCTGGCAACTGCACATCTTGGGGTCGCAAAAATTTACTTTTTTTTACATTTAAAAATTTATAGCGTGCCCGATACAGCGTATCCTTTTTTGAACTGAATGTAGGTAATTCCTCTGGGGAAAGCATTTCGCCCTGACCAAATGTATGATCAGAATCCTGTTTATGAAGTTTGTAATAGTGTTTCTCAAAAATTTCAGGTATAGGCGCCATATTAAGACAAACCTCTTGTTTGGCTAATGACATTGTGAAATCAATTTTGTTACGTTCATAATCTGGTAAACATACATGTTTAGCTTCTTTCACAATTTCTTTATTATCAGCTGTTAATGTTATGGAAGTGCTACAAATGTTTTTATTGACGCATCGCCAATTAGTTGTACCACACATATTTGTTTTAACAAAATTATATTTATGGCCAGCGTGCAGAAGCACCATTCCTTGATTCGATAACCGGCCTTTACCTATAACAATAAGTAAAAAACTTCATTCGGTGCTTCTTTTCCGTGGTTCAGTCGTGATATACCGGTTGACAGGACCACAGCTAAACTTTTGGTTGTCTATAGATTTGACTGTACCCATGGTCACTAAGAATTATCGTCTGTCCGGTTAACTGTACTACCACATGAAAGTTTAGGTATGGTATGGTCCGGTCAACCGATCTATCACAACTGAACTACTCCCCAGTTCTATCCATCAATACATGTTGTACAGCTCCAAACGGAACAGAGACGATAGGAAAACTGTCCTGACACAGTAAATGAATATTCATAAAAATTAACAGCTCATAAACTGAGTCGTACCTTTATTTCCTTCAATTATCACGATGTTAATTTTTCCAGAACTAGGGCCCGCTTTATCCATTTTTGAAAAAAAAATCAATGATTTTACATAGAGATAGGAAAATTAGCTTACATTCAAGATATTTCATGACAATGTCAAATCAATGACATGTTTAATAATTAGTTTTATCAAATCACCAGTAACAAAACAAATTATACAGCAAGGAGATTACACTTTCCACTGCAATTTACTCATATACCTACTCTGCTGTTTCAATCCACTATTCCCCGGGAGTCAACAACAAGCATCGTGTATGGATACCCACGGTCCATACATAGGCCTGTGCCCTGCAGTGGGACGTATACAGGCTGTGTGATGATGATGAAACAAACCGACACACCATAATGCGTTATATGTTAAGTATTGTGAAAAAAAGGATCAATTAATAATTTCAAATAAATTTAAAAAATGATCACGTGCATCATAAATGCACAAATTAACCATTTATGATGTATCGGTTTGTTTACACCCTGGGAACAGTGGATTGACATTTTGACCAAATATTGTGATATCATCATCAGTATCACTTCAGCCGAAAGACGTCCACTGCTAGAAATAGGCATCCCTCAATGATAGGCATCCTCAATTATCGCCACGACGACAAAAAAAAGTACTATTTAAAGGCCCATACAAAAAGTAACCAACGCGCAAGGAACATGCAGACATACGTTAAACTTATGTTACCGAGGCGTATTTCAAATACTTTTGCGTGCACCTGTACAATTTCCGGTTTTTTGAGAATCTGTCTTCATGAGAATCCGTCTTCTTGAGAATCCGTCCTATTGAGAATCTGTCCTTATGAGAATAAAGGATATTTTGCTGCTATATGTCCTAGTTAGCAAGAATTATGCAAATAATATATGTAACAGTAACATTGTGTACAGCTCACAGTATTTCATGAGCACATCTCACTCTCTTATGCAATTATAGGATAACTATATTGGCCTTCTTCATTTTATATCAGTAACCTAGCCATAACAAGCTGTTGTTGTCCCAAATAAAATGAATAAAAATGAACTTATTAGTATTCTAGTAATTTTGGAATGTGTTAACGTCTCTTAAAAGTATTCTCACTTGTTTTTTAAATTTGATTTCAGGGTGCAAACTTGATATAACAGCTAGTGATGGTCTCACTCCCTTACATGTGGCAGTGATTAGAAATCACGCAGAAATAGTTAAAATGTTAATTCTTGCGGGTAGTCACGTCAACTATAAAACTCATGAAAAAATGACCCCATTACACTTTGCAGCATCAAGAGGATTTATAGATTTGGTATTTTTTATTAAACATTGATTTTTTTAATAGTATCATATTGTAGCGGATTAATATTGCTAGAAATATATTTTTTAGGTGCAAATTCTAGTCAACCATGGCTCATATTTAGAAGCAAGGGATACAAATGAGCGAACTGCCTTATATTTAGCTTCAGGGAGGGGTCATATAGAAGTTGTAAACTATCTTATTTCATCTGGAGCCAATGTTAATGGTGAAGAAATACATGGTAGGAGTAAAAATTGTAGTTTCACTTTATGTAGATACTAAACTAACAGTGCGATATTGTAAGCAGTTTGCTTTTGTTTTTCTAATTTCTATAATTTTACAGGATACACACCATTGTGCGAGGCAGTGTGGCAAAGATATGCAGACGTTGTTAAAGTGTTGTTAGCTTCTGGCGCTAGAATAACGCATTCACATAAACTTTTACACAATGCTATCATACAACGCCAGGTATGTTTTTTTTTAATAGCGACTAGGGCGACATATAGCGCGAGATCTCAACACAAGAATAGCTGTATCTCGCGCGTTAAGTCGCCTCCTGCCATGCTATTATTATATAAAAGCTATGTGGTGTATAAGTATAGTAGTAAGTATAGTAAGTATAGTAGTGGGCTTAGAATAATAACGCATAGAAACCTAGCCCGCACACGTTAAGTGAGGCAAATTGTAGGACGCCCTATGGGCTTACACGAGCGAGCGGGCTGTCAGTGCTCAAGGTCAAGTTGCACCGCGAGGAGCTCAAAAATTTTTGATAAAAATGACGAATTGTGCGGTAATTGGGTTTAAAAATAGATCAGACAAATATAAAATAGACACTTACATCACATTCCACAAGGAAATAACGCGTTTCAACTTGTATTTTTATATAAATATTCACTAAAACAGAAAATTAATTTCGTTGCAACAAGATACGAAAATGTTGCAAAGTAACGGGTTTTTTCTCCCCATTTTGCTATTCTGTTTCAAAATAATTATATTACGTAATTTTTTGAGAATAGGCAATATCTCATCGGTTGCAAAATTTCTACAAATGTACACCGCCGCAACATCATTGTAGGGAATTTACGTTAGCTATTTTTACGAAATATATTTAGTATTTGCCTTCATTAGTTTCATGTGAAAAATCATTATTCTAGTTCATCATACACTCATTTAAAAAAATTGTCTTGCCCAGACTTAAAAGTTCTTAATTAAAATTATTTCAGGAAACTAACTCTGACTAAAAAGTCATCGTCAGTTCTCCATAATCGTGTATAAATAACTTTCAGGTTCAGGTTTTTAATTGTTATCGTGGACTTTTCATGTAAACATACCCACAGATAATATCAGGCTATTTATATATTCAAATTCGATAGTCGCACTAAAACTCGCTTGTAGGTTTTTGTTTATATATGAGTTAAATAAGAATTGGGTAGTATTTAATAAGGTGCCTACAGATTTGCTTGACATTATCGATCGACAGTAACGATTGAGAATTATAGACGTTTTCGAGGAGTTTTAGAGTGCTTATTACGAATGTAGCATTAATTTCTTAATCCAAGATGGTTGACAACAAATTTCAAAAATGTATTTTTCGTAAACCATAAGGAAATGACATGTATATCTGAATACAAGATGGGGGACAAGACTTCTAATTCTTTGCCATCTTGGATTTAGAAATATGTGCTATATTCGGAATGAGCAGCCCCTAATACCTTGAAAACGACACCCAACTTGCCATTATTCGAAAAATCGTGCCCGCCATCTTGGATTTAGAAATTAGTGCCATGTTCTTAATGAGCACTCCCAAATACCTCGAAAACGACACCCAACTTGCTATTATTTGAAAAGTCATGTCCGCCGTCTTGGATTTGGAAATAAGTGCTATATTCCTAATGAGCACCCCCAAATACCTCGAAAACGATCCCCAACTTGCCATTATATGAAAATCATGCCCGCCATCTTGGATTTAGAAATGAGTGCCATATTCGTAATGAACACCCCGAATACCTCGAAAACGATCCCCATATTGCATTTATTTCAAAAGTCGTGTCCGCCATCTTGGATTTAGAAATAAATGCCATATTCGTGATGAGCACCTCGAATACCTCGAAAACGATTTCCATATTGCATTTATTTGAAAAGACGTGTCCGCCATCTTGGATTTATAAATAAGAAAAGTCGTGTCCGCCTTCGTGTATTCAGATATAAATACCATTTCCATAAGGATTACCAAAAAAAATTTTTGAAAATTCCTGTCACTTGACGTTGTCGATCAACAGTAACGATCGCCAAAATCGAGCATATCTGTAGGCACCTGATCGACAAAATCGAGCAAATCTGTAGGCACCTGTAACTGAACGATGAGTTAAGCAAGATACAATTTCCCCACTTTTGGGGGAAATGTTATTCCATGGCATCATTATTTGTATATTTGTGTGCGTGCCGACGAGCGTAAATACAAGTTGCTTACGCCTACATGAATTTGATTTTTGCCTCACTTGTGACAGTTCGTTTTTTATGAAACTATCATTCTATGCGTTATTATTCTAAGGTAGTGGGTTTATAAGTATATACATATAATAATATGTTATTCATAACTACAATTGTTACAGAAAATAGGTTTTGTTAGACTAGATAATTATAATTTAATATAGTTGGTTTTAACAAATTTGGACAGTTTGTTTACAAAAAGATTGTGTAGGTACTTGGGTCACAAGAAATGGTAGGCTAATGGGACGGGGCAAGAAATTAGATGAAAAAATATCACAGGCGCCTTATATTTAGTATTTTAATGTCTATGGTTGGTAAAGGTGTTCCACATTTATGTATGGAAGGAGCGACATAGAGTTGTTAAAACCACCAAATATTAATTACTTTTTTCAAAGTTAGGATTTTCGGATGAAAGAAACTCCTCTCTTTATTCTATTTATGAAGATAAATAGCCATACATGGGTAAGGGCGTCGAAAATGAGACTTTTTTCGTCTTGTTTTAGTGTTCAGTTTTTTTATGAAAAGTAATAAAATAATCAAGTGTGAAGATTTTCCTTGTAAAATACGACATTTCTACTCTTAGAGCACATAGGACGTGAGGCGCTATTAGCGTTATTTCTCGAACATAACTTTCTGCCACTTTTTGAGGACCTTGGTAGTACTACAAGCAAACAGGTGCACTCAAATGCAATATTGAGTTGTGTCACTATGGTCTCACACAAACAAAAATCGACAACACTAGCTTATTTTTACAAATACACAGATAAACACACATTCATGTCATGTCCGTACACAGAATAGGCCTATACAATAAATCGATTCTCATGAATATACTAGAGACGGAAAGTTATCGATGTGACGGTATCGATATGTATTATGTACTAGTTAATTACGTATATGAAAAATGTAATTCCACTCTTGGCTAGACTGGACGTAGAGGATTTCTTTTTGCAATGTTGTGAGTATTTGTACTTGCCAGAGGAGATTGCCCATTGACTTACCAATAATCAGATGACAATAAATACAATCCAAAGTCTAATCCAAAAACCGCGAAAAAATGTCTGGAGTTTTTCCGGCCTTTCGCGGTCTGCGTTGGAGCCAATGACAAGCATGGCCGGAGTTAACCTATACAAACGTTGTGACATGTATAATCGAAAATTGAAAATGTCGTAACGGGCCTCTTTCAGTCTTTTGCATATGGCTTGTGTATGATAAGAACAGTTAGCTATTTGTAATTTATGTGTATTGTATGTAAATATGTACTCGTATATGTACTCGTATATTATAAAATAATAAGAGTTATATCCGGAATTTTCGTCGTTAGGTTCGTCACTTTTCGGAAGGTTAAAATATCCGGGTGAATCTTGTAAAATTAATTAAATTAAGACTAAATTAATTCCGGAGACACGTTATCTGCGGCAGAAGAATGGGTCGACCTTCGTAAGGCTTTTCGTTAAAATTCCATTTCGCCGAAGGTGAACCCCTTAAAAGCAAATCAGCCAGAGATTTAGAAAAGGTGCTTCAAACATGTTTAGAAAAAGAAAATGCGCCTATGTCGGTTTAAAAAAAATGAACATTCTACCCAACCGTATACTCCGGATGAAGCGCTAGCAGTTATTATTGATAGAAAAATGACAATTGAGTCTTACCAATTTCTGCTGTTAAATCTCCTGGAACGTGGGTTTCCTGCATTTCCGCCTTACTACAAGGTACAAGAGGCAAGATACAGTTGCTATACCCAGCTGCCATTACAATATCAGAAATAGAACCTACAGTTCCGTTCCAGAATCTTTTGCAACACGCTTTTGAGAAGATATTGAAATTAAATGATGAAGTTATAACACAGTACTAAATGCTTTAAAATGATTAGAATGTACCTTGGGAGGAAACTGGGGGTTCGGTGAAAGTACTGAACAAGTTCTTTACAAACAGGCGTTTTCTGATGTTGAAGGTGGCGAAGAAAATCGTCTCATAGCAACTACGTATATTCCGTTGGTGCTGAAATCTGTTAACAACGACTATCTTTGGAAGAATTCAGCCTCACAATCATATCGGTAGTGTAGACCATTATGTGTGCTATACAGAAAAGAAACAAAAGGGTTGACCTTGTCAGAAAAATTAAGAGTAGAGTCTTAAATTCGTGATTTAACTCCGTTGTTGGGGGAAACATCTAAAGGCCATAAAAAAAGTATCATGCGATGCGAATTATATTTAGCTGCCATTGACGGCAAAGTATTGAATATAATTCTACATACTTCTTCTCAAACGCGTTGCCCTTACTGTAATCTAACTGCCAATCAGTTTAATATTTGAACATGGTACTAGAGAAACCAATAAATAAAGACGCCATGAACCATGGTGAAAGTCCACTACATGCATAGATTCGGGTGCTTGAATTTCTTTTGCATCTTACTTACAAAAAAGTCGTTAAAATTGTGGAGAAAAACCTAAAAATTCAGAATATAAGCGACTCGTAGATGCTAGAAAAAAAAGCTATTCAAAAGCAAGTAAGGGAAAAAATTGACTTGCTGGTAGACGTTGTTCGTCCCAATTCCAGTACAACAAATGATGGCAATACTGCGCGAGTTGCCTTATCTGATCAGAATCGCCAAACTTTTTCCCAAATATTAGATGTTGAAGAATGGTTATTGGACGATTTGCATGTCATTTTAACTGTAATTTTGTAAGCTTATAAATACGTCGAGAGCTATCCCTGGTATCCCATGACAGTGACACTGCATAACATATTGATGCACAGTGCTGACATAATTAAGTCAACAACACTGCTTCAATAGCATACCAATGTATGGTCTCCGAGCAGGCTTCCGAGTCTAGAAATAAATATTGGAGGAGTGATCGTGAGCATCATTGTAGAAAAATGGACCGCATAAAAACGATGACAGATTTGTTTCACAGAGCTTTGGAATCATCTGATTCCTTTATATCGAACGCTTGGGTACACCAAAGACAAAACAAACGGCTGAATATGCCTTTACCTGTAGCTGCAATACAGCTATTGCAACCTTTATCAGAGCCACTACAACTAGCTAACCCAGAGTCACTTGAAGAAGTCCGCAGCTGTACCTACAGATGATTTACAAAAGTTTGAATTTGAAAACTCTGTGGTTCGTGTTGGAGACGAAGATTATGAAATAAAATAAAATATTGTTTATTTCACACATCATTCATTATTGTATTAGTACACAATTAGTAACAATTTACCTTAAAATATTATGTTAGTAAGAATTAATTATATATTATTTTTTGTTTATCTTTATTCAAAAAACTTAGACTCGTCTCGTTGCATATTATGAAATATATTAAAACTAAATTCCATGAAATTTGAATCTTTTTTTTGTGAGAATGTGAAGAATATGAACTTTCAATATTGATTGTTGATGATGTTCCATACGAGGTATATTCGATATAAAATATTAAAATGAAAATTTAAGAGTAATAAATTACCAAGAATGAGGTTCAACTTTTATAATGGTTTTGTTTATTTAATTTTGTCCTCTTTTGCCCACCCACCAAAATCGGTATAAATTTTGCACGCTCTTTAGAATCTTTGTCTTTGTTCCCGTTGTTAACTAATGTAGGCCACATTCCGTCCTAATTTTTATTTTAAAAAGTTTATTGACCTACTATTTCCCTCTTACTTAGTAATGTTTAGTCTCAATATCCAAGGGCTGGCCAGGTAACTTGTAATATAGTAGGTGAAATATCTACGTCAAGCATCAGATACCACAATATATTACTATAATGCGCTTACTAAGATTTGTATTGTTTTGTATTTTGGCGTGAGTAATAAACATATTAAATTTATTATTATTAGGTACCTACTTATTATTTCTTAATAAAGAAGAAAATTAGTAATTTTATTTTTAAAAAAGGTCTATTGTGTTTCATAATATCAGGATATGAAAGTATCATATAAAAGTGACATCTCTGAAAAAATTAAATAGTTTGCTATAACTTCTAGACTCCACGAGATTTAAATTCGGTTTTTTTTTTGTGAGGTAATAAGTAATATGAGACCTCACTGTTGATGTAATTAACTTTTCCCAATACGGCGGAATTTTAGAGAAAAAAAATAAAAACGAAAAATTTAAAATACGTATTAAGAAAATTAAAATACCTAAGGAAGTTACGAGGTTTTTTTATAAAGAGTAAGAGGTGATATGAATAAAGCTCTTTCGAACTATATACGACACTTTTATGTATTATTTTTAAATTAATTAAAAAAATTAAAAAAAATTAAAAAAATTATGCCATTTCAAAAATTATTTTTGCCCTAACTAAGCAAATTTGTCACTCGAGAGTTCTACTGTAATGTTTTAAATCACTTGGTCTGTAGGTTTTTGCAATAAACAAGCCATGTCGTAAAAATGGTCTCTATAACACTGTGGGGCGGAGAGTTACCATTCTCATTACTGTAAGTGTAGGTAGTAGTAGAATAAATCTACATTTTAGTAAAAGGTCGGTTATCTACTGCATTTTTTTTACTACAATTTAGAATTACTTTAAAACCTTCGGATTTGTGTAGGACAAAACTTTCTAGGTCAGTAGTTTTGTCCTACACAAATCCGGAATTCCAAAACAGTAATTAATAAATATTTGGTGGTTTTAACAACTCTATGTTGCTCCTTGTAACTATATCTATACATGTATCCATATATGTGGAACACCTTTTTCTGACCATTGTCTGTTATATATATTTACTAGTAATTCCTTCTGCAATAATAAAGTTCTCTACTACACATAAATGTATTTTTGCAGGTGGAGATAGCGAACATGCTAGCAAACTTTGGAGGTGGAATAAATTTGCATAACGACAATGGTGATACTCCCCTTTTGTTAGCGGCCAGGCTGTCACAACCTGCAGTTGTTAGACTTTTACTTGAAAAGGGTGAGCATAGTATAAATTACTCTACGTAATCATTCGAGGCAAAATGTATGAAGTGCACCTAATTCAGATACAAAGCTACAACACTATGTATAAGAACACGTAAACATTTTTTAGCAGAGTGGCTACTACATATGAAATATTTGATGTGCTCTTTGCAAAAATATGAATTTAAATTTGGCATGTATTGGCACAGGTTAACGGTTTCAACGTCTCTAGATCTTGTATAGTCAAAAGCACAACTAGCTGGATACTTTGGAGTTTGCGCCATTATTATATACCGTTATACTTACAACCTTTGAAAATAAAGTATACGAACGACGCACAGACCAAATAAGTGGTACGACGTCATCACGTCTGTGCTGATAGCCATGTCACACTATCTGTCGATCCAATTCTTAGTATAGAACTTTGGAAATATTGAATGAAACTACATTGTTTTACAGGTGCTAATGTCAATGCATGCAATAGTATAACGGGTGCAAGTGCCCTTCACGTCGCAGTAGAGAGTATAGACTGTCCAGAGGAATTTGAAGAACTACTGAAGTATTTATTAGAATATAACATTGATATGAATTCCACTGCATTGACTGGAGACACCCCTTTGAATAGGGCTTTGTTGTTGGCCAAGTAAGTTGACGTTTAGTAAAATTAAAAATAGGCATTTGTTGCATTTTTTTAGATAACGTAATTATAATAATAAATAAAATATTTCAGAGACCGTGCAGCGATGTATCTCATACGTTACGGAGCGGACGTAAATGCCAGTGACCTCAATTCCTGCGGATTGGATAACTTGTCAATCGCATGTCGGCGGCGCACTTTTGCGTTAGTTAGAATGTTGTGGAAAGCTGGTCATAATATTGTAAAACCAGATATAACAGTTCCTACTACCCCCTGTTGGGCAAATTGGCTTTCATATGCTACCAAGCATCCTCTTAGTCTCTCTGATCTCTGTAGAATAAAAATTAGATCACTGAATAGAACTAAGAACTTGCTCTTCTATATAGAATCATTGCCTTTACCAAAGAGCTTAAGAAGATTCCTAATGATGGAAGATGAATCAATATAAATTTAAATCAATTCAATATTAAATAGGTCCTTAATGGATTGTTTGGTTTTCGATACTAAATTTAACCCTAATTATTAAAAATAAGCCGAAAGGTGTAGCAGGTAGATAAATAAGAATAATGTTAAAAACGTTTATTAGTAAATAAATACATCCATAGTACAAAGTTGTACAGTGAAAAATATAAAATATTTCCTGATAAGAAAACCTACACTTACAGAAATAAATTATTATGGCTATATAAAAATGTTTCCCAAACATGTCTAGATTTGTAATCAAGTTCTTTGCTTGCTAAGAAAAATATTGGTTTACACAATTATTCAAAAAACATTGTTATTATGTTATACATGTGTTAGATGATATACACGTTATGTACTCTAAAACATAATATCTTTTAAGGAAATAAAACAATTAATTGAAACACGTGTAGCTTGCATCATATTTGTAAATATCAAGACTACATAATGGAACTAATATTTGATCTAGTCATCCTGAAGCTTAGATATTATTACTTTATACTGAAAAATTGCACATGCCTACAAATACAGGGTGAAATACATTATGTGTATCAATTCATACCTTAATAAACATGTTAGACAATGCACTCTGCACTTTTCCAATTTAATTCCTACCTATACAAACTAAATGCACAAACTAATAAGGAATTGTAACATAACATAAACTTTTTCATAAAATCAAAGAAAATGTAACATAAGAGTTCATAAATTCATTGTGTTTGAGATCAATAATAATTGTACACAGCAAACACAATACCTTAAAATTAATAATAACTGAAAAAATACATTAAATCCTAATAAATAAAATGGCATTTACTGCATTACAAGTTCTGTAGGCAGGCGGCCCTTGGTGTCCTTGATTTGGGCGAGTTTTGGACATAACTCAAGTAGGATTGCTGTTAATTCATGATTTTTGTTTTCAACAGCTTTGTGAAGAGCTGTTTGGCCGTCAACGTCCTGGGCGTCGACACAAGCACCAGTTTGAATTAAGAATTTCACTGTGGCCAGTTTACCTGAAATTAGATTATTTAAATACCTGTTTTGTGTAGATTGGTATGTTTTGTGTAACTCCCATGTTAACTTGACAACACAAAATAAATAAGGACTTTGGTGTCACCTTCATTCGGGCCAAAGTGTCATGTATAAATTTATATAATAATAATGTCACGGTGCCATGTGTCACGGGTGCCATGGACCACACATAGACAACCACAAATTACACCCAAACTCATGAGAGAAATAAATGTAGGCCATACACATATTTCTCTCTATCTGGGAATCGAACCCAGAACCTCTGCGTGGCAGTCCGGCATGGTAACTGTTCGGCCACAGACATTATGAATGTAAAATGTTAAGGAAGGAGTGTTAGTATTCTATTGTCCAGTGACTCACCATTACTAATATAAGACATTGAATATTTGTTACATTAGAAGAAAAATCCATGATGGATGGCACATAATGAATGGGAAAGGATTTTTTTCTTGACAATATAAAGTGACAGGACGAACAAGTTGTGCGCCTGATGATACGCTACATGCCTGTTCATAACAGTTGCAATGCCACATAGAGCTTTAAATCGTAAAGAACTGAGGGGCACTGCGACTGTGCTCGTCACCCTGAGATATAAGTTGACAAGTCCCATGTGCCTGTAATTTCACCAGCGCCCTTACCCTTCAAAACCAGCACACAATAATGCTGACATTACTGCTAGGCGGCAGAAATAGGTAGTGGCAGTAATACCCTGGATGAACTCTTTCACAAGGAGCTTTAACTGCTACTAAAGGTTACTTTGAATGACTTATAATTATGCTGATACATATGAACCAATCATTTCATTTCCTTACAATCTGTGCTGCCATGTAATTAGTTTAAATTTGTTACTGCATTACCGAATGGAGTATAATGAAAAGTAATAACATACCTGCAGCTGCAGCTTTATGTAAAGGTGTAGCTTTGCCATTAGTTGTTGCATTAATATCTGCTCCATTATAAAGAAGTGTTTTGCAGATATCGGTGTTGCCAGTGCGTGCAGCATAGTGCAGTGCTGTGTACCCAGCATTATCTAGAGCATTCACAGCTTCCTTTGCATTTCTTGCTTTGTCTATAATAGACTGAACTTTCTGATTATCACCATTGTAAGCTAGAATTTCATGAGGTGAGGTTAGATCTTATTAAAAATTACTATTTTATGAAAAATATTAGAAAAGTTTTCACCTGCATACCAAATGCCCCTCTCCCAATCCATCTCTGACAAAGTTTGACATACAGATTTGTTTGCACTGTGAGTGCAATTAGTGTGATCACAAATATCATCCATGGCTATCAATAAAATCTATTTAGTACAATACAACTACACATCAAAACAATAAAGAGTTATCAAAACATTTAAATCTCACGCTGTAGAGTCCAAGTGATCTCAGTTTCACCAGTGCTTGAAGTTATCTTATACCCAAGCTGGCTCAAAGAGTTTATGGCATTTAGAACATTAGTTTTAATGGTAACCCCATTGACAACATCCACTCCAGATATAGGATATTTCTTGGACATAGCTTTTATTTCTTCTTCTCCTAGACCAAACACAGAACAATCTTGAGCATGTAAAGATCCTTTGATTGCAATATAGACAATAGTGTCTTCAGCTGGTATTGTGGCAAGATTCGTTGTGGTTGAATTTTGGCTGCCTTTAGTATTCATTTTTACAAACAAAACATGTACAATTTAAAGATATACTTTACACACTTAGACTTCGTCGTCCTTGGCTGGGTGTTGGTAATTGCCCAAGTGCATAGCCTCCTTATTAAAATTTGAGAAATTATCTTGCTCCACAATGATAGAAGGTTCAGGTTCAGAGAATTCTTTTCTCATAGTCCACATATACTCGTTGTAATCTTGCTTGACCGCTGTGGAACTAGATGCTACGACTTTGTAACCCAATACCTGTTCATAAAGTTTTTAATTTATTATATAGGTATACGAAATTCCCATAAGTCATTAAGACTATGGGCTTACACAGGCCGATTGTATACATGGAAATAAAAAAGTCTTACCTCCAATGCGCTTAGAATGACACAAGGATGTTGTAAATACACTATAGTGGAATCGTCGCAATATCCACCACATGCAAAGCGTTTGAGTTGTTCTATGTCACCGGCTAGAAAAAAACAAGCCACAAAGTAAACTTACGTTACGAAATGTGTGCATAATTTAGAAAGCAATGTATTATGTATATCTTATCTGTTGATTGCACATAAAAGTGTAAAGAACGTAATTATTGTCTACAACTACCTTTCAAGCCGGATACCAAAACGCGCCAGGGGTTCTTATGCCCATAAGATGCGAGATTACCTCTGATCAAAATGTAGGGCATTGATTACGGATAATTTTCACGTATTTTGTTCTCTAAACTAGTAGAATTTTATCCGAAAATTGGTACAAAAATAATAAAATCAATTTACTTACAAAGAGTAGACGTGATTGGCAAATAACATTTCGTCTAGCTGCATATGCTATAATACTGTGTAAGAGAAAGCGGCTTATTACATTCAACGTACGAGTGACAGAGATAGTATTATGTATGAGTTCACATGCATAAAAATTCAGTGGAACGTGGATGTCACATTGACTTTTTTTTTTATCACCATAAGTAAGCAAAGATAATAATACTACAGTTTCTTCATCATAATAAAATTAATACACTGCGTAAAATTTAGCTTGATTAGAATTACTATTAGAATGAAAGGTTGACAAAATTAGGACGACGCTTTGTAGCAGGCAAATACTAAATTATTCTAAGCACGATAAAACAATAGGTTTTTTTGACCAGGCTAAGAAGATAAATATCTACGTATTTAGATTGCCACTCATTAAGTAGTAAATACCATACGATCATTGAAATCCAGAAATTATTGATAAATCGGCGGTGATAGTGCACATCCGCGTATTTAGTATTGGTAAAAAGCGCGTAGCTGCGCTAAACCAAATTTCACAGAAGAAGGATTTAGCATTATTAAGTACTTTGTTATTTCAATGCCCTACGACTTTCGTTTTTGCACATATTGTGCAATCAATATTATGTTGTCTACGGACTGATAACAATAGATCTCCGTAAATCACGCTAATTTGGTTGTGTCGTGATAATTTACGCGGATCAGGGGGCTACTCTCGATCTCCGTCCGACATCCGACCGAAACAATTACTGTCAAATAAGTAATATTCGACAAAATTAAATGACAAGTATCCAGTATGAAGCTTCATTCGCATCACGCGTCTTTTCATTTGGTCAAGTATTGCTTAATTGGCATGGCAGTAATTGTTTCGGATGGATGTCGGACGGAGATCGAGAGTAGACCCCATGATTTGGCGACTAAATTACCGAAATGGAGACTCATAATCAAATGTTATTTTTTACGCGTAATTGCACTATCCCCGATGACATGACTTCGAGTTAATTACATTAAGATGCTAAGTAATAATGGTTGTTTTCACAATTTCATACGTTGAGGTTACGTCCGCCGGAAAAAAATTTTTTTTTGATGTAATATACCTTAATATAATTAACTCGAAAATTAATAATTCAAGGTTTGAATGATCGCATGCACGTTCCCTGTGCAAGCATCATAATGTGGTGCATTTCGAGGACCAAACGAACCTTAGAATAATAACGTATAGAATGATAGTTTCATAAAAAACGAACTGTCACAAGTGAGGCAAAAATCAAATTCATGTAGGCGTAAGCAACTTGTATTTACGCTCGTCGGCACGCACACAAATATAAAAATAATGATGCCATGAAATAACATTTCCCTCAAAAATGGGGAAATAACTCATCGTCAAGTTAGAGATGCCTACAGATTTGTTCGATTTTGTCGATCGTTACTATCGATCAGGTGCCTACAGATATACTCGATTTTGTCGATCGTTACTGTTGATCGACAACGTCAAGTGACAGGAATTTTCAAAAATTTATTTTTGGTAATCCTTATAGAAATGGCATTTATATCTGAATACACGAAGGCGAACACGACTTTTTTCATTTCTAAATCCAAGATGGCAGACACGTCTTTTCGAATAAATGCAATATGGGAATCGTTTTCGAGGTATTCGAGGTGCTCATCACGAATATGGCATTTATTTCTAAATCCAAGATGGCGGGCACGATTTTTCATATAATGGCAAGTTGGGGATCGTTTTCGAGGTATTTGGGGGTGCTCATTAGGAATATAGCACTTATTTCTAAATCCAAGACGGCGGACATGACTTTTCAAATAATAGCAAGTTGGGTGTCGTTTTCGAGGTATTTGGGGGTGCTCATTAAGAACATGGCACTAATTTGTAAATCCAAGATGGCGGGTACGACTTTTCGAATAATGGCAAGTTGGGTGTCGTTTTCAAGGTATTAAGGGCTGCTCATTCCGAATATAGCACATATTTCTAATCATTCATCTAAATACATTTCTGAAAATTGTTGTCAACCATCTTAGATTTAGAAATTAATGCTACATTCGTAATAAGCGCTCTAAAACTCCTCGAAAACGTCTATAATTCTCAATCGTTACTGTCGACTGTTGTTTTAGTTAAATATATGTATAGTCTGTGCCGTGAAAAAAAAGAAGAAGCTAGTGAAAGTTTATTACAAATCGTTACGAGTACAAACGCTTATTTCATTACGCTATCCGATTATATGGGCTGTCTTAAACGGCCCATTCCCTACCTGCATGGCAGTCCGCCGCGCAGGCAGGAGCCTGCTCACACGCTATCCTGCGTATGGCCCACGTATGGAGTCTCGCAGGACGCAGTGCAGAATTACTGGATGGCTTGCTCGCTGCGACTACATTCATAATCTTGCATTACGCGGTGCACGCGGTGAGAATAGGCAATATCGCGATAGCTGCAGATTTTTTTAAATTTTAATGTAAGTGTGCATTGCAACTCCATTTCTGCAAGTTGAATGTGTACAAATGTTGTTTCCAAAGAGCAACCCCTACAGTTTCTTGGTCATACTTCTCGGAGGAATCTGCCTTACGAATGAACAGTAGAGTTTAACCAATGTGACGATTTCAAGTGTAATTATGCTTACCTATCAAATAAAGATTATTTTGATATGATTTTGATTCTGGGTATCATTTTCGAGGTACTTGGGGGTGCTCATTACGAATATGGC